GGTGGTATAGAAATATGATGATTTGCCCACATCTTCATACACAGTATGCAACTTTCTTCAGGCAGGGCATACCCCGAAGGAGGACTCATCCAACCACGGTGTGTTGCCCACAGGCGGGGGCACAGTAAAATGACTGATTAGCAATAGTATTGTGTTCCCATCATTAAGCTTTATAGTCATTTGTATACGGGCTGGTGCCAAGATTGCCCTAGCTGAGCATCCACCCAAGGCCCGCATCCCAGGAGTCCTATGGGGCTGCACCTCTTCTTCACCGTTGCAACCTATGTCTCTTCATGGCACCGGGAAAGGTGCTGTTTGCTCACTGGCTCTCAAAAAGGTGTAGCCATGATGGGATCGGGACGGAGGAGCGGAGCCACCGCTGACAACAGCAACGGGGAGAGAGACTGAGGTGGAAGGACCCTCCTGAACCCGAAGCAAGAACAGACTTTGGTGGCATTACAGTTTACGTTGAACGCTTTTACAGAAAGCAATATATAAAGCAATATAATTGGTTGGGACTAATAAAAGTTTCCTTGCTTGCGGATTTTGGAAGTCCACTACTGTTTTACCACAGACTACTTTGTTGCTTTGCCTAACTTGGAAAATCCCTAATTCACACTTTCATGAACCAGATTCTACAACTGGAGAAAGATGGCCTTCTACCCCACAGAGGGCAGAAAGGTGTGTTCCATCCAGGTCAGGTAAATCCTGCCTTGCTAAGCTTTCAGAGTTCCTTGACCAGCATCGTTAAGCACATGGACAGAAGTGGTTCTGCAGACACAGCACTTAGATTCCCAAAAGGCTTTTGACAAAGTACCTCACCAAAGACTCCTGAGGTTCTACCAGGATCTGTATTAAGGTCAATGTATTTCAACTCATTCAAAAATTAAATGGAATTAGGACTGGGCAGTAAAGTTGCTTAGTCTGCCCTAAAACCAATAGGGATGGTGAGGTGCTGCAAAGGGGTTTCTCTGAATTGGAAGAATGGGCATCAGAATGACAAATGTGAATCAAATTTATTAAAATACCCAAAGCTCTATGGGTATACAATGTAAGCAAGTGTCAACCGATGCTGGTTGGGGCAAAAATTCCCCACTTCAAATATAACCTGCTTTGAGCTGGACTGACCAAGAGAAAGATCTTGAAATTATGAAGCACCAACTTGATGGAAATATCAACCCAGTGCACACCTGCTGTGAAAAAAGCAAATTTCATGTTGGGCATAAATTGGAAAGGAATGGAAAATAAAACCGCCAAGATAACACTGCACTGATGCAAATCTACTGTGCAACAGTTTTGTTCACTAGTCTTAAAGGATAATGCAGAATTGGAAAAAAAAATCAGAAAAAGACAACTAAAATGATCAAGGGGCTGGAGCAATTCCCCCAGGAGGAATGGAGACCACCTCTGAGATTGTTTAACCTAAAAAGGGGGAGACAGAGATGTACAGAATTATACATGTAAGGAAAGCAGGGAGTTAATTTTCTTCCTTTTTTGTAATATTAGAACCCAGTGGATCATCCCATGAACTTGAACAGTGGGAAATTCAAGACAGATCAAAGAAAGACCTTCACACAGTGCAGTGTTCAGTTATGGAATTCATTTCCACAGGATGTAATGATGACCACCCCTTTGGAAAGCTCTGAAAGGAGATTGGATAAATTGATAGAGAAGGTGGCTATCAACAGCTAAGGTTTTTTCCCCCCTAATGATTTAGACAAGAATTAATCTGCAGCTTTGTTAAAATAAAAACCGAAGTTTCTCTTCACCTTTTTCTTTACCTAAGGCGGCTTCTATGGGTTTCACCTAGAACTGCAGACAAACCCAAACAGCAGCTAGATTTTATTTTTTCAAAAATGAGCTATCAGCTACTGCCTGTTAAATGAATTGTCCCTTGAGGTTCTGATGACAGGAGTTGCAGGCAACTAACAGAGAGATGTCTGTCTGATGCGTATGTCTGGCCACTGTCAGAAACAGGATGCTGAACAAAATATAAATATTCAGCTTTCTCATTCTTCTCCCTGGACTGTACAAGGTTATAGAGCTGCCCAAACAGTCAAAATAAGTTGGCTTGTCTTCTACTAGGCCACACTGACATTCAAAAATGTCAGTGCAAGCCTTGAAGCTTCACAAAATTCTTCATCATGCACAAAAATAAAAAAGAAGGGAGCATTCTGGGAGTAGACATGCAGAATAAGATATGAACATATTCATTTTAATACATAGGCACACAGTATGACTGTAGGGAAAATAGAGATGCTGATTCTAACCTTATTTAGGGTGCAGACTTTTTCATGTTTAGACAGAAGAAAAGCATGCTGGGAGTTATCAGCCTTTTTTTCTGTTTGAATTTGTTTAGGATTGCACCTTTAGGCTATAATCCTGTGCCTTGAATTTATATCCGATCAGTTCAATTCCCACGAAAGATGCTGCTGAGTTTCTGGCATGGACCTTAGAGGCAGAAATGTAACGGGCATAGAGATCTAGTGACAGTTGCCTCCTCACAGGGTGAATTTTTGCCCATCATGCAGAAGATGAAGGCACAGGAGAGCTACTAGAAAACAAAGCCTCTAGTAGCTCATGATTCAGGGGACTGGTTGGAACTGCTCAACTAAAATCGAAGGTGGCACCTTGAAAACCAAGATCTTACATAAGTTTTACTAGGTGGCAGAGGTGTTCTGCATCCAAGGCTAAAGACTTTAAACATATATGCCAGTGAATAACATTTCAACTGCTTGGATGTCACTTGATAGCTTAAGATTTCTAATAAATTTACATTAAAATACATAATGCAACACAAAACCAACATAAAACTGTGCAGAATAATATTTTTTAAAGATTGCGTGACGATAGAACAGAGCACTGCAAGGAGATGCTTCAGCAGATAGATACACCTTCAAGAGGTCACCAACATTTCTGTCTCTTGAACCACATATCGTTGTAAGCCGCCCCGAGGCTTCGGCTTTGGCGAATGGGGCGGCATAAAAATGTTTTAATAAATAAATAAATAAAAATAAGAGAGTGTTTGAAAGGGTGGGTGCCACTCCTGCAATGTTGTGGTCAGAACAACGAATAAGGCCTCACTGGAACATCTCAGGGGACCACTGGGTCTCCGTGAGGGAGAATACGAGGCCGGTATCTTCAGCCCAAACTTAAAAATACCAGCAGCAATAGGCTTCTTGGCCTTACATATCAGCATCTTACCCCTGCTGCAGCCTTCAACTCAAGCCCTGTTGCATTTCTGTAGCTGAGAGACTGCTGGAGTCACTGACCCGTTTTGTTGGCTGGCCAGCTGGAGGAAAGGGGGCCAACTCCCTCCACAAGTCCTGTTTCTACAAACGCCCCCCGCCTTGCACCTTTTCTTGCTTACTGATTGTTAACTAAGGGGCCGGAGAGCACCACTTCGAAGGAGGACCATGAACTCTGGGACTAGCAGCTCCCAAGTGCTGCTTAGGATTGATCAGCGATTGCTGGAGACGAGAAACTGAAAATGTCATAATGAATCGTGTTGAGCAAAGATTATCTCAGGATAGCTGACACTGGAGGGGAAAACACAGCTTTGTTCACCGACCAAAGCCTCTTCCACTCAAGATCCTTTCATGAACTTTCATAACCTCTTGCAAACACAAATAAAAATCCAAATATATCTATCTTTTAAAAGCCCTTCAGACATGGACATGGCTGACCCCTCTCATATAGCATGTCATTTCAATTTTGTATACTGAACATGGAAGTTAAAGCAGCACTGCCCAGGGCCACATTGGAGAGTTCCACGGAGAGACTGGATCAGATTCTTTATGAGAAAAGCTGCAGTTTAAAGAGACAACTCCAGCTAAGGCATGCCAGGCCAATTTAACTATCCTTTTTAACCATACTGTGAGTTAAGATTCTTTCTGACACCTTTTAATCCACTGTTGGTTCCCTTTCTTCTCTTCTTTATTTTTAAACAAACCATAGTGGTGCATTGGGCACTGAGTGTTGGCTATGATGCCTGTATTTTAAGAAAATGTTTTAAGATTCGGGTTAAGATTCTGGACCTGGAATTAGCCAGGTATATTAGGAAAAAAAGAATGCTGTCCAGAAAAGTGCCTAGATTGGTATATTTGGATTTCATGTCTGAATACTCTGTGAGTTATACCCAGATTTTAATAATGGAATTAAGATTGGGTCAAGAAATCTGTTTTACTTTTGCGTATCCAAAGTCCTAGAACCAGCACAGGTTTGTCCAGGACCAGGAGCGGTCCCAAAAAATCCCAGCAGTGTTCCTTTTGTACATTGTGGCTGAGTGTACAGGAGGTATAACGGAGATTAAAAATAGGGTCAGGGGCACACTGGGGTTAGGAAATCTTTAGTCTAGGGGTATGCCCACTGTCCCAGAGCCCAGTGCAGGCAGGGAAAGCAAGCCCTTCAGAAAAATACACGGAACAGTGCTTTCAGGGATCATATCTGAATGTACAGGGGTATTCCTGGATTGTGAGAATGGAGGCATGTCCAGTTGGGCTGGGAAATCTTGCATCCCTATGCATATCTAGGGCCTCAAAACTGACTGAGTTGGTGCATGCAAAGCAAGCAAGCTGAAGCAGGACCTGTTAATTCCCTTGGCCATGCTGTTTGAACGCACAGGTACTGAGAGAGACCCCAAAACATGCAGGATGCAACCCTTCGATGGTGTAAGCTTTATGTGGTGATGACCTTACCTTTGGCAGTATACACATGAAGTAATCTTCCCGTTCTGATTCACAGACACGGTTGTCACAGTTAAACTCAGGAACCTGAATTTGACCCTTCCCAGGAGATACAACCACAGCCCCCTCTTTAGTCCAATTTCAGTATCTTTTTGCCCAACACCCCTCCAAAAAGTTAGTCCAGAAGCCTGAACTTTCTCCAGTCTGAGCTGTCACACTCCCACCTCCCACCCCTGAATTCTGGTACAGCCGCGTGCTGCGTCACAGGGCCTGGCTTGAGCCTGACAGCTCCTGACACAGGGATGCAAAGCTCACCTCATCCGTTTCCCTTCCAGGCAGCAGTAGGAAGATGGAGACACCACCTCACACCTCAGGCTGCTGTTCGGCAGCTCCCTTTCCTTTCTGCAGTTTGACACCCACGACCAAAGCTAAGCACTCCCCAAAGGGCAGTCTTCTCCAAAGCATTCAGTTGAAAGAATGGCAGAAAAGACAACCGGCCCAGCAGGAGTTGAGGCAGGCAGAGCACAGGGACAGCCTGAACTGGACAAGGCGCTTTGTGCCCTATATTTTCCATGCATTGTACCATGGAGGGCTCATGGCAGAACACTGGATTCCACTCTTTGCTTCAAGATGGCTATTTTCCTGAGAGCAAATTCAACTCAAGATCTTTCCCCTGCTGCTCCAGTTGGAGTCCTGTTCTCTTCCTGTAGTCAGGAGGCCCAAACTCTAACCCCGATGCCCATTTGCTTGGCCACTTTCCCATCACAGGATGCAAAGAGGAAGGCCTTGAAACATGCAGAGCCTATTTCCCACTCCTGCAGAGAGCTTAAGGTGCTACTCTCTGACGCAGTAACTTGTCCTGCACTCTTTGAAAAGCCAGTCAAGGTGAGATCATACTCACTAAGAAATACAGGTACAGTAAGAGTCTAGGAATAATCATAAAGATGAAGCAATCCACCAAAAACACTTAAAACTTTGTTGATCCAATGCAAATAAATAAATAAAATAAAAAGCCACGCTGCTTTTTTGTTTGGAGCAAAGGCCAAAGCAAAGGGTCAGAGCAGGTTCTAACTCAGTAGTTTCAAGGGCTTTGCAGGACACAGCAGGACAGAGAGAAATACCATTACGGTCTTAATCAGCATTCCATTCGTATCAAAGGCTCAGATCAAATGCCAGTGTTTCCTCAAGGAAGGGCACACTCTTGAGAATCACTTCATTGAGTGAACTTCCGGCTTTTCCCAGGTCTATAAACACAGCACAACAATTATTGCTGTGATAGAAAATGAAACTACACATACAAACACATGCACAAGGCAAGCATTTCTGCTGCAAGGAAATGTATTGAGTGCAAAAATAGATGTGGATTGCTTGAATGCCAAACACTGATGCCTCTTCCAGATTAAAACAACCTTACAAGAAGGGAGTTGTAAGGTGAAAACCAGGACCTCGAATCAGTCTGCACTGGCAAATATACGTTCTACTGCACAGGCAGCAGCGCATCCTTTCAGCCCTAGGCTGTGGGAACACCATTCCAGTCCAGGCCAATTTGGCACTTTGCTTCTGGAGAGCAGAGCGTGGAGGCCAGGAAAAAGACAGCCTCTATTCTGCCACATTCCCCGAAACGATTCACAGTGGCATGTCCTGCCTGAACCCTTGTTGGCCAATTTATTTTTCGCTTGGTAATCAGGTGCTCATTAACCTTAATCATATCACTGCACTGTCACTTTCCTTTCTGTCTGTGTAAGATGGTGAAAAAAGAAAACCAAGCAAGCCACAAAATGTTAGGAGCCACGGCACACTGCCAGCTTTTTATAATGGCCAGGCCCTTAATTGGAAGCAGAAGGAAGCTCAATAGGAGAAAACCCAAAAGCAACTAGAATCAGAAGAAACACACATTGCAAAACCCTCGTTTTGTTACATCCCTCTTCAACAGTACACTTTCTGTGGCAGCTGTTGGGGCCCATTTCTCAGCAAAGAGAGATTTGCTTTGATATTGTAGGAATTGCTTAATTATAAATATGTAGGTTAGGCAGGGTGAAAGGCTGGCAGCAGGCAAACATCCTGACAGACACGACTGGTCTCGAAAGAAGCAGTAGTTTCCCACTCCAGTCATTGCATTGAGACTGCAGGAAAATAAGCATGAAGTTATTTCCCGACTCCTTCACTGGCTACATTCCAAAAGCCACAGCATCTGTCTCTACGCCCCATCCAAGCAAGGTGCTGCCATTCATCCCAAATCCCGAAGCAGGCCTATTTCGCTCACTGGAGCCTGTTCAAAGTCTAGTCTTTTGAATGGTTAAGTCCAGTGCTACCTACAGCATTCAGTTACAGAAACCACGTGTGCAACACAGAAAAGGAAGTTAATTTTTAAAAATAGCATTCCTGTCAACAAATACGGCAAAAGCGACAGAAACAATAAATTTAAATTTGCAGTTCGACACATGCCTGGGAGTAAGCCCTATTGAAATCAGTGGGGCTTACTTTTGAGCAGGCATGTGGAAGAGAATTTTGTGAAATTCCTTCACCTGATCTACAGCTATAGAAGACGTGGCTCAGTCTAAACGTTGGGCCAAGTTATAACTGATGCAAAGAATGCCTTTTGGTCACCCGTGAATAACTCTATGGATGAGAAATGAAAAATCAAGCCGAGTCTCCAATGATGGAAAACTAAGCATAGATACGGTTTCTCCCACCCAGTTTCTGCACGTCGGAAATTCTGTGCCTATCATTTGGGTTTAACAGCAAGTACTCTTTAAACTAAAGGGTCACGTATTTTAGACATGACAAAATACCTTAAGCTGGCCCTACCCAACCTGTTGGAACACGGAGCTGGGGATCATGGAGGCCCAAGTCCGACACGCAAGGGCGAAAGCAGGGCCATGCTGGATCAGGCCAAGGGCCCTTATTTATTTTTACTTTTTTTTCGATTTATAGCCTGCCTTTTTCCTACAAAGGGCTCAAGGCAGCTTACATCATTCTCCTCCTCCATCTTGTCCCCACAACAACAACAACCCTGCGAGGTAGGTTGGGCTGAGAGTCTGCGACTGGCCCAAGATCCCCCAGTGGGCTCCATGGCCGAGCGGGGACTCGAACCCGGATCGTCTGAGTCCCAGTCCCACGTTCTTAACCACTACGCCACACTGGCTAACCCTTCCAGTCTAGCACTGCTTACATCGTGCCCAAACAGCCGCCCACCTCCCCCAGCAACGGGGGCACCTAGGCACTGGCCTGCCTGCTTCGCCAGACACGTTCCCAGCATGCCCCGGCCAGCCATGAGGACTAGCGCATGCTGCAAGTGCAAGCCTTTTTCCTGGCTGAACATGCGTAAGAATCCTGCCCTAAAGGCATCCCCCCCCCGCCCCAAATCAGTTGGCTCTGCCAGATCCTGCCTCGTTCGCTTCAGCGACTTAGCTCCACCTTCTGACTTTCGATCGCAAGCGCTTTCAAGACGATTTGCTACCGAACGGCGCCTAAGCACACCCGAGGGGGGGGGGAACCGGCCCCGCCCCCCCAGCCCCCCCCCCCAAGACGCGCCCCCGGGCATCCGCTCGCCGCCCCGCGGCGCCCCCGCCCCCAGCAGGGCGTCCGCCGCGCCTTCGCCCCTTCTCGCGAGAGCACGGCCGACCTCGGTCATCAGCGGCGGGCGGAGGGCAGCTCGGGAACGTCCCAGCAGCGCGCGCGTCGCTATAGAAACGACAGCCGGCTGCATGGAAGACGCACTCAAGATGGGGGCGCGCCGCTGTAGTCTTCCCAGTTACTACGCCGGGATGTCCCTTGCTACGCGAACGTAAAAGCGTCGCCTCTTTATGCCTTTTGGCCAGTTCTGCCCAATCCTATTTATAACAGTTCAAACAAAAATCCGACGCGGAAAGTTCCGACACACCCAACATGGCGACACCGCTCGCCTTTCCTTTTCCTGTACGGTTCGTCTCTGGGGCCAAAAAAGGGCTTCGCGTATTGCGCATGCGCCCCGGCGTGCTCCCCTTCCTGCTCAGTGACTAAGCTGTCGGCGAAGCTGGTGTGGGAAAAATGGAAGCAATGGCGCCGTTTTGGGCTGGAGGTCCCGCTCCCGGAGCGCTTTATTCGCCGCCTTGTCCGAGCAACGAATCCGGGACCTTGCCTGGGGGGGTCACCAGGACTCTGTAAGTGGGGAAAAGGTTTGGCTGAGGCTCCCCGCAAAAGAGGGGGGCCTTCGGGGGGGGGTGCTAGTGCCGTCCCGGCGATGGGGCCCCTTTGAGAGATGGCCCGCGGGCCCGAGGATGCTCGCCCGGTAGACCCAGTCCGCGGGCGGCCTGCCCAAAGATGGCATCCCGGATGCCTTGGGCTGTGACCCCCATCATCCCTAGGCAACGTAGATGGGAGCGCTAGTCCCCTAAATGTACCAAAGCCCGGGCGTGGTGTTAGGGGACAGCCCCCGAGGGCTGCCGCTCCGAATCCCTGCGAGGCCGCAGGGCATAGCACCCTGCGGCCCACCTGCTGGAATAAAGGTCCAGGGACCGTCAGGCTCTACCTGGGTTGGTCCACTTTTGGACCACATGGGCTCCCCCCCCCCCCCGCTTTTCAATCTTTCTGCCTAGTTTTCTCTGAATGTGCACAGGATACCTGTGCATCCTTTAAAAAAAAAAAAAAAAGATAGGGTCCTGTAAAATTGCGCACAGACTGGGTGTTTCTGTAAATTAGCTGATGTAAATTGGTGCATTCCCTTTGCCCTGTGGACCAGGCCCCAATGCGGGGGATTGGGATTCTCCAAATTTAGCGAGTGTAGCCGGAAGGGGAAAAGCCTGAAAGTGCTTCCTCAGGTCCATGCCAGCCCCAGACAGAACATCCTTTGCCGACCGGAGTATTTTGGACCACTGTTGCCAGCAACCCAGCGGTCGGGAATGCTAGAAGCTGTCCTCTTCATGCTCTGATGGGAACTCAACTCACTGGGAAGAACTGCCAATCAGCCCTCCCTGTTTTCTGTCCCATTCCTGCCAGGAGCCCCATGGTGACGGGCACCTCTGTCCTGGGGCTGAGGTTTGACGGTGGCGTCATCATTGCGGCAGACATGCTGGGCTCCTACGGATCGCTGGCCCGATTCCGCAACATTTCCAGGCTCATGAAGGTGAACGACAGCACCGTGTTAGGGGCATCTGGTGACTATGCCGATTTCCAGTACCTCAAACGAGTCGTCGAACAGATGGTGTAAGTTGAGAGTTCTCCAAATGTTGAGGTCCCTGTCCTGCGGAGGGGGGAACTCCCCGTCTGCCATGCCTGACACTCAAGATAGCTACCAATGCATTTCCTTAGGACTGGGGTAGGTAACTGCCATCCAGAAGTCCCAGCCAGCATGGCTAATGGTCAGATTATGGGAGCTGTAACCTAAAACACCTGGAGGGCACCAGATTCAATTATCTCTTCCCCTCACACCTTAACTTCCATACTTAATGAGTTAGGCCTTTAAGCAACCATAATCTCCTCTACATCTCTTATTAAGTGTTGACACCATTCAGAAACTGAAGCGTTCCGGACAGTTCACAATTAAAATCCATAAAATACAATGTAAGATGCTATAAATGTTTAAATGTACAGTATAAATTGGAAGTAAAGGTTAGCAGCAATGCAAAGATTGGGATGCAATCATAGGTTTAAAACTGAAAGAAAAAAATCTTAAGGCAAAACATAGCCTCCCTCCTAGTTTGAAAGAGGTAGTTAAGAGGGCCCCAAGAGGGTCCCTGAACTTTGTTTGTTTCCCAGCCAACCCCAAAGTAAAGCGGTAGAAGAAAATTCAGTATTTGCATACTCGAAAACTTACAGTAAGAAAAATTCTGTTTTCCAACTGAAGATTGAGGAGGTCCCTTACAGTTTCTTGATAACATGCAGCAGTTTCCCAGTTTCCTCACAGAGTTCTTTGTTAGGCTTCTAAGCACCTCTTCTCACTGAAGCAAGATGCTGTTTATTCCACTGAGTTGTGCAAAGCTTTAGAGTCCCCAAGCAAACAATAGCTCCCAGTATTCACATTGTACAAAGCATTTCAGTTACATGGTGGTAACAAGACATACAAAAATGGTCTGTTTTGTTTTCCTCCTTTAGGGGCTGTGGGAAGGAGGGTGGGCAGTTCTCCAAAACACAGTATTACCTGGGCAGGGTGTGGGCTCAAGCGGCCTGGCAGAGCCAACAGCTGCTGAGAAGGGTCTGCTTTGCCTGGCTTCTGCACCCCATCAGTAAAACCCCTTTTCTCATTAAGACACCCCCTTCTTTCACCTGCTCAGGAAGAGGGTCCCACGCAGCTGGAGCAAGAGGCTGAGGCTTCCCTGCATGGCCACCTCCTGGGTAGTTTTCCTTCTGAGATGGTGGTGGCGGCGGCGAGCTTGGCTCCTCTTTTATATAGTGGGGGAGGAAGGCCCTGCCCCTTGAGCCCCGCCCACCCCCATGCTGGTCAGCTGTCAGCAAAGGGGCCCTGGGATGGCTTCCCCAAGCCTAAGGAACGCCATAACGACTGCCAGGCACCAGAGGGGGCCCCTTGCTCCCCAAAAGTGGCTTTCAGCTGAGCCGCAGAAGTCTGTGCGCTTTGTAATATTAGCCTGGGCCTGATGCTCTCCGGAGGTTCCCCCAAGGCCCAGTCAGTATGGCGGGTGGTTGGGGATGATTGGAAACGTGCTCCCAAACGGCTGCAGGGGGCCATGTTAGGGAAGGCTCCTCTGGTATGGAGGGATGGTGCAACTGATGATTTAAAGAAATATTACAAATGGCGCCTCTTAACAGCCGCAGCCCTTTCTGGCTCGGTGCCCTCAGGTCTTGTGCCAGTCGGGAGGGTCAGATTTTGGATGCCCGCATGCTAAATTAGCCAAGCCCCTGGGCCCAGGAACCTGCTCCAGTGCTTCCAGCAGCTCTCCTGACCCTTCACCACTGCTTTCTCTGGCTGGGGGAGACTGGGCATTGCAATCCCAACACATCCAAAGAGCCCTACGTTGGGGAAGCCCCACCGTTCGGCCCTTTAGCACGTCTAGGATCCGGCGGCTTACAGCGGCAAGTCCGGTGGATCTGATGTAGCTTTGTCCCCTCCAGGATCGACGAGGAACTCTTGGGAGACGGACACAGCTACAGCCCGAAGGCCATCCACTCCTGGCTCACCCGAGCGATGTACAGCCGCCGGTCCAAGATGAACCCCCTCTGGAACACTGTTGTGATTGGCGGCTATGCAAACGGAGAAGGGTAAGCCCGGAACCTCCATCAGTCAGGGCCAGAAGAACTTAGGTAATGTCCTTGTTGCTCAGCAGGTATGACTCCTACACAACTATCCATTAAATTTAGTTTGCATAGCTGTTATTACACAGCTGCAATTGCTCTTGGCATGCTTACAAACTGAAGCAAGGAGCAAAAGATGAATAGGAAGCTGCTGCTTCCAGGTTGATCAAGCTATGAGTGGGGGGAGGAAAGATCCCCCCCCCACAGTGCTGTGACCCATTTGGCCGTAAAAAACTCCTCCCAGGGAGGTTCAGGAGAGGTGAAGACATAATGATTCATTATTTATATAAAGCGTTATATTATGCACCTCAAAGACTCCGAGCGTTTGTGTATGTGCCATAGCACTCCTGTGAATTTAAATCCCCGTCTTAACAAGTCGGGGTAGATGGAGGGATGCGCCAAAGGTTTTGCTCCCCGTGTAAACCTGTCCTCCTCTCTCAGTTTCTTAGGTTACGTTGACATGCTTGGTGTGGCTTATGAAGCGCCTTCTCTCGCCACAGGATATGGCTCATACGTGGCACAGGTGAGCCGCTTGGGAATGCCACGGATTAATGCAGCTTTGGGTCCTGAAAGCAGAGCTTTGGGGTCTTTGGAGACATGCGACTGAGGAGTCTCTCTGTCTCTTTCCCTTTCACAGCCACTGATAAGGGATGCCCTGGAAAAGAAACCCCTCCTTTCTAGGCAGGAGGCACGAGACCTTATTGAGCGTTGCATGAAAATCCTCTACTACAGGGACGCCCGTTCATTTAATAGGGTAAGGAGCAGGAAGTGAGGAAGGCCGTGAAGGCCATCCAGTCTGTCACACAAGACCAGGCACTTCCAAAGGTGAATCCTGGATCTCCATTTTTCTTCACAATTTCCCAACATGCTAATTACAACCCTGTCCATCTTCTAGCCGGGTTGGGTCAAGTCTTTTGAAGAAAATAGTCTTGGCGGACTAACTCTTTTCACTGTCCTTTTTCAGTATGAGCTCACAACAGTTACAGAGAAGGGTGTGGAAATCGAAGGTCCCATCACTTCAGAGACCAGCTGGGAAATCGCACATCTTGTCAGGTAAGTGTACCGCATTTGGGCCCAGGTTCGAAGGACATCGTTCCAGTGCTTGGCACGGTATGGGCCCAGTGAAATGGCTGGCCTACCGGACAACCCAGGAGGAAGTCTGTTTGGGTGCCAAGGGACTTTCCTGACTCTGTACCCCAGGGAGAATGGATGGACCCTGTTGCTGGTTAGTCCTGCCATAAAATAACTTGTCAGTACAAGGAAGCATACAACTGGTTGGTCTACTTACATGTTCCCAGAGGAGCAGCTGATCCAAGTAATACCCTTACCTCTGCGAGCAGGAGTGGGAGCCAATTTTAGACCTGCCTCCAGCATCTTGGAGCTTAAAAGCCAATAGGAGCAGGTTTCAGAAACTCCTCGCGGTGGTCTGCACTGAAGATTGCATGTTTTTGTATACTCCTCTTTAGCCCAGCAGCTAAGAATCACTTTGAATACATAGTCTAAATTACTTTACTTGGAAGGTTGTCCTTTTAGATAAGGTACGATTTATTTCCCGTGTTGTAAACTTTGAGGCATCTTGCCTTCTTTATTTACTTATTAGGCTGGAGACAACCTAATTTTCCTTTTTCTTTTTGTAGTGGTTTTGAATGAAACTGAAAAGCCCATGGACCTGCTTTGGTTTGGTTTGAATATAATCCCAAATCATTTGTTAAAACTAGTTAAGCTTCACAAGACCTCGTACTCTTTTTGTAAATCACAATAAAAGTGCTTTGAGACGCTTACATGCATGTTCTGGTTCTTGCACTGGAAACATTTACTGGAATTTTCTACATGGATCAGTCTCTCATCTCCAAGTTTCTTGTAGATTTATATGAGGGGTCCCTTTTATCATATAATCTCTGAAGGCTTGTGACATTTTGGAGTTCGTCTGCCCATTTGGAATAATCTTGCACTATAACACCTAATATCACGCAGCTTGCCTTTTTGAATGTTCTTCCATCTAAAGAACATTTCCAGCATATCAGGAAGGAATGTAAATTCTTGATAGCCTGGTTTTCTACATTCAGTTTTGTTTTATATAAAAGGTAACAATACAAACATTCAATCCCTGCCCTGTGATCTGGGGAGCGGGGAAAGTTGGATGTGATATTTAAATAGTGTGAATGTAGTTTTAAAAACCAAATAGCAGGTGTGGAAGCCCCTTCCAGATCCGTGATCACAGTGCATAGCAGAAACAGTTTCTATCTGGAATGAACCCTCTGGGCCCCTCTACTTTAAAAAAAAAAAATGGAATTGCTGTTGAATGGAAGCTGTCACATCTAGTTTGGGCCTGAGAGGTACCTTTTCAGCAGAGGTACTCACTCCACAGCTCCTTTCTCAATTTATAGACTTCTGGTAGCCAAAGGCCTCTATTTTCTGCAAATATCATGGTTAGTAAAAATGCATGCCTTGTTGATGCATACCATGGTCTGCAGCAAGAAGATTCTGGCGTATGTTCTCAGACATGCAGTTGGTTCACAGACCCCGTTAGAAGTGGCAGTCCTGGCTGACCTTCCACAACCTGATGCTCTCCAGTTGTGCTGAAACATAACTTGCGCCAACAATGGGAGTTGCCATCTAACACATGTGCAAGGCACCTAGTTGAGGAAAGCTGCCAACCGTATCCCACCTGCAATGGAAGATGGGCTACCATAATCCATATATTTTTTCAGGAAAGCATGCCCCCTCCCCCCATGACTGATCTCTGTATTTCAAGATCCTATGCTAAGTTTTTGAAGAACCCTTGAGCCGAGGTTACTGTCTCACTGGATTAATAATTACAGATGGGAAGAGGAGAAGAAACTGGTATGAAATGGAAGCTGTTTGGAGAAGGCTTCAAGAGAAAGACCAAGATAAAACACAGTTGAAGAGGCAGACGCATAGAGGGGGGTGGCATGAAAAAGTGATGGAAGGCAGGTGTTAAGTTTGAAAAAGGAGGTTTCTAGATCATCAAGAACCACTTAATGCATTCACTGGGGGAATCCCCTATTTAACATGCACCACCATTGTCAATACAAAAGGGTAAAGTGCTTTTAAGTATTTTTTAAGCAACATGCGTATCCTCTGCCTTTGAAGCACATCAGTGAATGTCCATTTGGTTCCTCGCCTGCTATTCCAGGGGGCGACGTTCAAAGAACGAACTCCTAGCTTGTCCTGCAGGTGGACACTTGAGAGGAGCAATGCTCAGGTCCTCAGTCGGGGCCTAGCTAGTAGGCGACTGTCTCGGCACCCCAAGGAATGCAGGATCTGCACAGCCGTTTCCAAACCGCTCAGCTTACAGAAGCCCAGTCAGGTGAAGACGAGGAGAAACTGCAAAGAACACATACCGGCACAGGTAGACAACACAGTTCCCTCCCGCCAATCAGCCTCCCGGCTAGCTCAAGCAGTGCTTAAGGATGATGGGAGCTGTGTTCAAAAGCAGTTGCCTACCTCTCACTCGAGATGAAAATGCCCCCTCGAGCACCACCATTCTCACGTCAAGGACGGCTTCCCCCTTCTGCCTATTGCTCAAAGTATCCATCTATAATGAGCCACCCCGAGGCTTTGGCGAATGGGGCGGCATAGAAGTTTCCTAAATAAATAAATAATAATAATAATAATAATTTATTCTCCAACAGCTTTCTCCCTTCCCTTTAGCAATGCACAAGATTATTTAATCCAAAAGAATGAAGACATCCCAAGGGGTGTTGCAGGGGAGTGTGGGTGGGATGGTGGAAAATCTAAGGAAAACTTACCAAGTGCAGCATTTAAAAAAAGAAGTTGACGGGCTGCGTGGCAGCTTGGTGGTTCTGTGCATGGCGTAGGAAGCCGTTCCCCTGAGCGAGAGGACAATGCCGTCCGGGAGGCAGGAATCTCCTCCACCTCAGTTGCTAGGGAATCTGGCTCAGGAACACCCAAGCAGACAGGAATAACGTGCCTTCCTCCAGACAGCAACCACAAAGAACCTTTTTGGCCAGGTGGGCAATTCCTAACCTCCATAATAAAAACACGTGTTTATAAATCCATTTCCCTGGCTTTATTAAATGTTCCACATATGTACATTTTAAAGATGAACCATTTACATGTCAGCCCACCCTACTTCCTGCTTCCCTTGAGTCACTGGGGTGGGTTGCGGGGAAGGGAGGGCTAAGGTAGATTTTCTCAAAAACCTCCATGGAAAGGACAGAAATGGTGCTGAGGCTGGTGGGTTACCCACTTTCTTTTGTAATGTCAAAATGCTTTCGTTATTTAGACCATAATACGTTACAATTTAAAAAACTCTCAAACATGCAAACAGTAGAAAAAACATCTTTTTTTGTCTCCATTTTTACGCTGGCAGTGAAAAATAAAAACAGGAAATTTCCCTCCTTTTTGTGCATGTCACAGCTGGGGTGCGATCAGAGCACTAAATTCAGGGAACGTAGTGTCTTGTTGTCATAGGAGAAAGCAGGCTTCAGTAGCTATCGATAGTTTTTTTTTTTTTAAGGTTAAGTCAATGGTCCATAAGAGAATTAGCTCACAATCGACCGCCCAAGAAAGCTTCCTGCAAAGGGCGTGAATCTTCCATGGTTTACTTTTTAGCAATTCAGAAAGAGCAGGTGAGCCCAACAGAGAAGGAGAAGCTGTTACATCAATGGTCACAAAGTCCGGGTAACTTTCTACAAGTGGATCTTTGCTCGACCCTTTTTTAAAGTACAGTACCACAAAGTCCAAAGATCCATTTGCTGGTGGCAAACTGGTGGGATCTACACTCTCCCCACCTCTCCCTAAACAAGGATACCTGCATTTGTCTTAATTAGGAAATCCCAAATTTCAGTGGGCGGCTATAGAATGTGTCACATGTTAAAGTAATCATTCATACCTTAAAAAAAGTTTCCCCAGAAATCGACGTTTCTGGGTCCAAGTGTTAAAGAAAAATAATCTGTGTTACAACAAATTAAAAAAGAGATTTAGCGAGAATCATTCATTAGCTACATACTGGTTTTCCTTGTCTTCAAAAAAGGTCACATTGATGATGTAGTATAATTAAAAACTTTTTGCACAGTATAAAACAAAACAAAACAAAAAAAAACAACAAAACCCCAGAAACTATAATACAGTGAGGTAAAGAAAATGCGCAAAAAAAAATTCACCCACAAGATATCTTCAGAAATTACCAACACAGTGATTTAAGAAAAACAAACAAAAAACCAATTAAGCACAAAATAAAAACAGAAATGAACAGTATCCATGGCTATTAGTCTGTGTGTCCACCTACTTTTCTCCTACACCCACAAATCCACAGGGAAGTAAAACTGGTCTCATCCAACATTGATTTCATGAGAGCGAGAGCGAGCGAGCGAGCGAGCGAGAGAACGGGAACTCTTCTCTGAGATCTGTCCATGCTCAGACTTCCATGAGATCCAGATCTGCATCCTCAAAGCCATAGAAGGATTCCGTCTCGCTCTCGCCCTCAAAGAGCTGGTGAAGAATCTCGGGGTTGGTGGCTTCCTCGGCCTGCCCGCCATCTGGCAAGTCGGCCTCCTCGTCCTGCGGCTCATGGCTGAGCTTCAGCTGCTCTTCCAGCGAAGTGATCAGCTCCTCCTGCATGTCCGCGTTGCGTGTGGGCGTGTTGGCCGTGCCATCGGGGCCAGGCAGCACACTGGCCACCAGGAAGGACTGCTGCACCAGTTCCGGGCAGTCCCCAATGACCTCGAGCGCCTCGGCCAGCCAGCACAGGACTAGCTGGAGGAGGATGTCCGAGTCGCACGTGGAGTCGGCCATCTCTCTGGCCTGCTCCTTCCATTTCTTATGCACAAAGTTTTTCACGGTCCTTTTGATACACACGTCCAATGGCTGTATTTTGGAGCTGCAGCCGGCTGGGACGACAGCCGGCAGCGTGCTGGAAGAACTCAACAGGGAAAGAACTTCTTCTGAGAGGTGTGTCCGGTGGCAGTCTAGGACCAGCATGCCTTTGCTGTTTTGGCCCTCTATGTGCTTGTGCCACACCTTGGAAGACCAGACGTCCATGATCTCGTCGTCGCTGTAGCCGCTCTCCTTTGCCTCCAGGATTATTGTCTCTGGCACGCTGGCCGCCTGCTCCACACGGCCCCGGTAGAAGACGAGAGTGGGCAGGACACTCCCGTCGGCCAGGATGGCCAAGACCACGTCGCACCAGGGCTCTCCCGTCCCCACCGTCTGCAAGGCGTTCTCTTTGCGGTCATCGCTGCACAGCACCTCTACGTCCAAGAAGAGGGAGATCTCATCGATGGCTGCGATCATGGAAAGGGGCAGGTCCTGGGTGTGGATCTGCCGCTGCACGAACTCAATGAAGGAGCTCGCGTTCCCCTCGACATCTTTGGGAAGAGGGTGAGCCACTGCCCGGCGATTGTGCGTGCTGAGGTTGTGTCGGAGCATGAAGCGCACGGCCCACTCGTAGGAGATCTTAAAGCCGCCTTCCAGGGACCGCCCAATCTTTGTGGCCTTTTGGAAGAGGGTCTCCTCGTTGACCGGCAGCTGCTGCTCTCGCTGGGTGAGGACCCATTCTGCCAGCTTCTCTTCTGCCTCCAAGCTCAGGTACTTTCCCTCGGACAGAGATGCCACATTCTCCTCCTGGAAAGCTTGGAACCGCCTCAGCCACCGCCGGATCCGCCTGGGGGGGTTCTTGAAGTGTTCCGCCGCCTGCTCGGTGTTACAGCACAAGGCAAAGAGGACCACCCGCAGCTTCTTCACGGACAGCTGCTCCTTTTTGCTGATGGGTTCGAGGGCTTCCTTTGCCGGGGGCTCCTCCTCTTGGTCTTCGACGTGCAAGCACTCCTCCTCCTGCGCGGGCCTTCTGCTGGCCTCAGCAGGTGCCTCATCGGGCACTTCCTCGTCCTTCTCGTCCTCAGGCAGAGGAGACGGTGTATTCACAGTAGCAGCTTTGCTAGGGGGGTAGTTGGGGCCTGGGGCTTTCAGGCCTCGTTCAAAAGGCTGAGCGGCCCTGAAGGGGGGGGGGGAGAGAGAGAAATCAGATGGCACGTTCTGAAAAGAGGAACAACAGAAGCCTCCAAGAGACAGGTGACCAAGAACATAATCTGCCAGACAAGAGCTTGCTCCAACTTTACCTCGTGTGGGAACTCCAAGTGGGACCTGTTATGAAAAGAAAGAGGAAGAGGTTATACTTGCTCAGGCAAAAGCAGTCAGTCTTGCTCACTGCTCCAGAGGAATGTAAAGAGCAGATCTAGTAACACTGATCCTTCCGTGCTGAGGACAACCACAGGCCTTCTGACAGCCAAGAAACGTTGCTGGCTCTTGAGCTTCTCCAAGTTCTGTTCCTGGAACATGGGAGTGACTGGCCACTGCCCTTTCCTACGGCCACTATAAAGCTCGTTAGCAATGCAGCAAGATGCCTACTTCGAGCAGGCATCCTACACACTGCACCCCTTCCCTGGCTGCACCCTTCTCGCCAGCCTCCCTGCCGCCTCCTCTCTTGGCGCGAGTGGGTCTTGCACCTTTCTCGAATTAACCTGTCCAGATCTGCCAGCCCTACAACCTGCCCTGTCCTGCCACTCCAAGCATCCCCAGGGTTGCGTGCGTGCGTGCGTGCATGTAAGAGAAGGCTGCGGATGGGATTGTTTCGGTGCAAACGCTGGGAAGAAAGACGACGTGGCGGGGGGACCCATGCTCTGTGATGCCATTACCTCGTAGAATGACGTTGCTAAATTCATGCGACGGGTTGAAGACAAGATGTTTGGCCATTGCGTCTCCTTCTGACGTAGCAAAGAGGCAGGCAGAGCAGGCCAACCGTACCCCGCTGGGAGCAGAAAAAAGAACAAGAAGAGGACGCTCATGTAAGTGGCCGAACTTGCTTTATGCTTTCCTTTACAGAAAAGCAACCAGTATTCCATGAAGATGCAAGTTAGCTACTCAAGACAATTCCACTGGTATGTGGAACATGGAGCACTTTGATGTAGTCATTGAGGATCTTATTATAAACCAGTCAGTTCCAGCACTCACTGAAAAAGTTTCCTGGCCTTATTGATGAGGCAGCATGAAAACATTTTTATGAAAACGAACACAAAAAAATTAATAGGTGGGGAACAAAAATGAAACAGCAGGAATTAAATTTTTGCTGGATCCCATGAGGCCCTAGTTTCCATCCCAAAAATCTTCTGGACGGCGTTACAGCCATCCTGAGGACTCGCAGAGCTGCAGTCACTCAGCTCTCAAAGCGCACTTCCAACATGCTCTTGCTCGCTCAGCACAGAAAAGCAGCAAGTGGCTGAAAACCAGGGCACGGCCATACAAGGTGACAACGGGGGTCACGCTTGTCCCTGTGGCTTCGCTTTTGTGGCTCCACTACTCCTCCCCCAAAGAGAAACCTGGGAACTGCAGCTTGCTCAGAAGAGGGAGGACTCACTGTTAACAGAGCCTCACAGTTACACTATTCAGCATCCCTTGGCGAGAACTGGTGACGAAGAGCTAGGATTAAACCCATTTTAGATTCATGGTGGAGGCATGTCTGCTTGGAGTAGCGGGGAGGAGAGGAAAAATGGTGCTTGCCAGAAGGTAAAGAAAAGAAACATCCATTCACAGAAATGCCATCTTACCAAGCAGTGTAGTTTTTGAACAAAGCCAAGTACTTCGGACTCTTGCGAGGAACATGGTTGCTGGTAAAAAGCACAAGGACACACAAAAATGAGACCATATAGCAAGCAGCTTGGAACGTCAAATCTGGAAGTGCCCAAAGCACCACCTCCTCAACCTGGTCTAAAGCGGAACAGGCGCCATTTCATCCTGTCACGAGCCGACTCAGAGGAGCACTGGTCAGGCAGTTCTGGCTCTCCCCTTGGCTGCCAGGAAAGGGAGCATGCGGACTGTGAAGGACCAAGCGCCTGCTCGTCGCTCCCGCTGCCACAGGGGACAAAGAGAGCGGTGCTCCCTCGGGCACGGCACCCGGCCTCCTTTGTCCTGGGACTCTGTTGGCCCTAAAGGGCCACCCATGGCTCACGAATCTGCTGCTCTCCCTCTGCACTTGCTGCAGGAAGCTACTGTTGGGCCACAACCGGCCTTCTTTGCTGGGGGCAGTGGGAGTCCAGAACTTCTGGAGGACAGCAGGGTGGGGAAAGCAGCGCTGGTCCAGGCAGACCGAGCACTGGTCTCGGGGGGATGTGGTACCACACGCTTCACATCCTGCCGCCACAGCGCTTGGTTGCAGCTGGCCTTTCTGCTTGCCCCGTGTTCCCTCGTTGTTATTGCTACAGGGAGCAGGGTCAGGACTCGGCCACCATTCCAGTCTGGGCACCACACAGAACTATTACCTCCCCCCCCCCCCGCATGTGAGCACAGAGCCCCTACCCTTAATGGAGAACACAGAAGTGCAGGCTTCCAAGCGGTTTCTGGCAACCTGCCAGACCCCCTGCATTTCTCCCATGGAAGCCCTGCTGGAGGTTCTCCTTGCTACCCAGAGCAGCACTTCCCTGCCTCTGCTCTCTCAGCAGGGCTGCCGAGACTGGAGCTGAGCAACGGGCAAGGCCGCCTAGCCGGTCAGTGAAACAGCCCCTGCTTCGATCGCCAGCAGGGCAAGAACAGCTCCCGCCAGAAACCCTGCAGAGCCTCCGCTGCCAGTCAGCACCGGCAGTGCGGGGCCCAGTGGACCGAGGGCCTGACTCGGCGTAATGCAGCTTCCCCTGCAAGCAGTCGGTCGCATGGGTGTGTGCCCTCCCCACCCCGCCTCTGTCCCCGAGGCCCAAGTGGCCGGGCAGCCCCCCCCATTCCAGCCCCCCCGTGCCCAGCCACGCTCACTTGATCATGTGGTTGGCGTAGGCGCGTGAGCAGCAGGTGCTGTAGCGGCACAGCGAACAGTGGACGTAGGTGGGGAAGTGGTTCGGGAAGTCTGGGATTTCGAAGCTGCACTCCAGGCACGTCTGCCTGCCGAGGACGCTCCTGCGGAGGGAAGGGGAGAGCTGGGTCAGCAGTTGGACCTGACTGTCCTGTTCTTCAGGGCCTCTAAAACGCTGGGGTCCGGGGGGGAGCCAGTACACCCGCAAATGGCAAAGAGCCGAAAGGGGAGAAGCAGCGCCAGCTTCCAGAACAGCTCGCGGGTAAAGCACAAGCTGTGCGGTGGGCAGGAGCCCCCCCCGGTTCAGCCTCATGCAGCACTTCCAGCTCCTGGGGGGAAATGCAGCTGCCCCAAACCCCAGAGAGCAGCTACACATCTGCTGCTGCGCTGGATAACCACCCGAGGCTTTTCAAACCTGTGAATGGGAGCCAGGGCTTGCACGCGCCTCTCTGGCTTATTTCCCTGGGGTTGTGCAAGAGCCTTGGCCCCATGACTTAAGGGAGAACTTTGGAAACTCTACCCCACACACACACCCCCCAAAATTAAACGTGCAAGTCTGCGACAAACCAAATATAGTCATCTGTGACATAATGCATCTCAAGTGCAGAATCTGAGTATTTCCAGCCAAGTGCCACAGCAACCTGGCAGTTGGCCTGTAACGAAGGAAGGTGTCCCCACTCCACCAAGGAGCGCAGGGGAGCCACCTCCATTTGGCACCTTCTCCTTCTGCCGGAACCCGCCCCCGCTGGAAAAGCATGCACCCACCCAAGGGACAACGGAGGGGAGAAAAACCACATGATGTGGACTACGGTTTTAACTCTGGGGCCTGTGGGAAGCCTAGCAGAGTTGCCTAAGATCTCTAAGAAAGATTCTACGCTGAATTTGGTAAGAAGTTCTGACATTTTCCTGACAGCTTTCTTCTGGATGTTCCTCTGGAACGGCGGATACGGGAAGTTGGGCTGGGGGTCTGAAGAGGCCGACAGCAAGGTGGCATCCTGTAGGAGACCGGGGGGGATGTCATTCGCAGAGAGGGGCACCGCGCGCGGTTGTCCTCTGGATGCCCTGATGGTGACCTTTGGCACAGAGAAGGAGAGATGTAATAAAAATGAGACCGCATTCCGTTCCCACGCATGTCCCCACAACGACTTTCGCAAAAATCCAAGGGAGAATATGAGCCTGTGCATGAGCTGCACCGCTGGATTTCAGGTCTCTGTGGGTGACGTGCTCTCCACAGTTTACCAATAGCCAGAGCTCCATGCCTAAAGAAAACCAGTCGGCCAAGGAAAAGCGAGCCTGCCTTCCCGAGATGCAGGCCAGGGAAAGGATGGGAACAGAGGAGCTTGGGGGGGCTCAATCAGGGTGAGGCAAGGCAAGGGCAACTGTGCAAACAAATCAACAAAGCTTTCTAGTCCACAGGCTTTCTAGCCTGACTGCCTGTCGGTTATTGCAACTCACAAAGAAAGGGAAGCACACAAGCCTGTAGTAAAGTGTGCCTGCCCGACTGTTTACAAGGAGGCAGAGTGGACTCTGCAAGTCCCCACAGGCTCACCCCACAAGCTGTTTGTACCTTGGTGCCCGGCTTCAGCCCCTCTAACTGCTTGGGCTTGCGGAACGTTTTGTGGTGCTGTAGCTTGTGTTCTATTTTGTCCTTGGCAAAGAGGAACTGTAGCCGACACTTGTTGCAGTGGTAGACACTCTTCTTCTGCAGGGGGAAGAAAACCCAGAGCAAAGCCCCCGCCACCCCCCAACAGAAAGCACTGAGCGGAGGGTGGAACCACAGCAGCAGGAGGGCACCGACACCGTTTAGCGGGGAGTCTCAGTTCTGTGCTTCCCAAATCCAAGGCTGCTACTGCCGTGAAAGGGCAGCGTCCGCAGCAGGAGGGGCCAGAAGGCAAATACTAGCCAGAGCCCCTCAGTGGCACTCCTGACCACAGGCACTTGCGTTGCCCAAATACCAGCAGAGGAACCCAGGAAGCAGTTGCCTTCGGTAGTCAGCTCACTGCTCTACCTTGCATGGTACTGGGATGGCTCTCCAGGAGCTTGGACGTGGCTTTCTTCCCTGAGATGCTGGGGGCTGGGGACTTTCTGCAGGCAATCCAGGTGTTCTGCTGCTGGGCCGTGGCCCTTCCTCTGACTGAACCCAGAAAAACAGGTCTGCTTGCCTCCAATGGATCCTCCTCAAAGGCAGGGGAGGCACGCACAGGGTTTTGCTGGGTGGAAAACCACTTGGACCTTTCTGGAGCTGAACCTTTGGAATGGGCACTCAAGGGCCCTTCCCCACCAGGGAGTTTTACTCCCTGACACCCATGCCTGCTGTGTTGGAGAGCACTGCACTGTGTCCTCCTTTGACTACTGAAGAATCACAGAAGGTGCCTTCTGTTTAGTTTAATCGTTAATGTGCAAAGCTTTTTCTTTTTCTTGGGGTTCCTGCTTTTCATTTTGTATTTTTAAGTCTAGCTTTCAACTTTATGTTATATTGACTGATTATATTTCTATTCACTGGGAAGTTCATAAAACAGAATTTCAAATGCATTAAAATACAGTTGCAGAATAACATCTAAACAGTGAAGGGTTTAAAACAGAATAAGTATATTCTAAAAACACCAGGTAAACTTGCCGAGCGTTTTCTTAAAAACAAAACAAAACAAAACAAAACCCCTCTGACCTTGACATCCTAAGCTCAGAAGTAAGGCCTGCTGAGTTCAAGTTAAGGGTGAATGTCCCTGGCTGGGGGAAGTTTTGTGCCTCCACATGATTAGGAAGGGGGCCCACAATACTAAAAAGCCCCCCAGGTGCTCAGGGGAATGCTCTGGGCTGAGCCAAGGCGGGAAATCTACCTGGTGCCTCATGAAATGCTGCTGGAAGGCGTTGCCGTTCTTGAAGACCTTGAGACAGTAAGGGCACAGGAGGTGCCGCGTGTCCTCGTGGACCATGCGGAAGTGGCTGTCCACCTCCGAGTAGAGCGATGAGCGGTACTGGCAGACCTGAGGGGAGCCACACACACACAGGCATTAGGAACGTACGCAGGACTCCGCGATTCGCCCACGGGCTGTGCTCTCCTCCAGGTGCCACTGACACCAGCGGGGAAGCCAGAGAGATCATCCCCGCAGTGGCGGTGCCCCCTCTGGGAGGCCCCCGTCCCCAAGGCACCTGCCTGGCACCAGCATGACAATCATTTGGGTGCCAGGGAAAGACATTTCTGTTCTCCCAGCTTTTAATTCACATCCCTGCCCAAAGTTGTTGTTGTTTCGTGCTTGGCTGGCCAATTCAAGGTAACTTCTGGGAAGTTCAGAAGCAGGACGAGGGCCTGCGTCATTTCCCTTCAGCACCCTGCACCTAGTAGAGTGCTTCTGAGTGGACATTCCAGTCTAAGCTGCCGCAACTAGCAAGAACAAAAGGAGAGCCCTGCTGGACAAGAGCGCAGCATTATCCAGTCCGGATCCCACGTGTCCCCCGGCTTGGTTACAGCCACCCTGAGCACCTGGCAGACGTAGGGCATCTCTCCTGGCTTGTGGGTGTCCTTCATATGCTGCAGGAACATGGGCTCACTCTCAAATGCCCACTCGCAGATCTTGCATTTGGCTGCAACACAAAGAAGGCCGTGTCAAGGCAGACTCCCCACAGGCGTGCAGCTGCCACTGTGCTTAAGCACAGGTGACGACAAAACACCCATTTCCTGCCTCTTCAGCTTCTTCTGCCCCTCTCTTGCCCCCCACAGTGCTGGATAGTGGACTATACGCCCCTTGGGGCAGGGCCTTTCCCCCTTGCACCCAGCAACACCGAACCTCTGTGGCAGAGTGCTGCGCGAATGGCGCCGCTCTGTTTTGGCCTACCCTCAGCAGGAGAGTGGGCAGTTCTATTTCTGCCACCGAGGAGACGACACCTTTGCAAAGGTCTTGATCTACTCTGGCCCGTGCCAGCCCAGCACGGAAGGCAGCTGTGGTAGCTCGGGCCTGCCCGCCGCGTGTGGCTGTGCCGCAGAACGTACGCGAGCCCGTCTGGGGCCGAACTTACTGGTCGATTCGTAGGGACTGTGCACATTTTCCAAGTGACACTGTAGCTGGAAGGGAGTGGTGAACTGCCGGTAACAGTGCTGGCAGATAGTATGGACATCCACCTCCCCGTTCTGCTGATCCAGTTCGACGTGGTGCTTCATGTGATTCATGAACCTGGGGGCATGAAGCAGATGCTTGCGCTCTGCCTCTGGGGGAGGAGAGGAGGGGTCCGCGCTGCCCACCCCGATTCGCTTGCCACCCATTACACAGCCAGCTCGGTCACAAACACAGGCTGTGGGACCTCAGCCGGAAGAACACTGCTGCTCTCCATGCCTGTGGCTGGCCAGTGCAAACGTTAACGTGAGCGGAGCCGGCTGGAGCCGGGGACTGGACTAGATGGCCCCTTCTGACTCGCTCTGCTTCTCTGTTTCTGTGTGAGTACATGTCCCTAGAGAGGGAGCTGCATGTGAGCACTTGTGGGCATGCAGAGGGCGGGAGAGTGGCACCCAGACAGCCTGGGCTACTGGGCAGGAGGGAAAAGACGCAAATGAGTAGGCCAAGGAGAGGAACCTTTTCCAGCCTGAGGGCCACCTCCCGTTATGGGCAAGCTCACAGGGCCATTGGAGAGGGCCAGAAAACAAAACCAAAATCACTTTAGTTTGAAGCGCTTACTGCCTGTAGGTGAGGCTTAGGAAAGGCATTTCAAAATTTCAAAATGGGACCCGGGGGGCGGGGGGACTGCAGCAATGCTGAAAAAGCACCCAGAGATCAGTGCCCAGATGAAACCGGGGGGAAAGGCTGCTGCCTCCACGTTGCGCAGAAGGGCAAGATTTGACCTGCAGGCATGAGGTTCCCCACGCTGATCGAGGCCAAAGAGGGGTGCTCACCGCAGTGACCCCTCTTAGCTTTCCATTCACATCACATGCACAACTTACTTCTTCCCACATCCAGATCGTCCCCTTCCCAGAATCAGAGAGAAAAGGCTGGGAGCAGCTTGCGTGGACCCACCAGCGTGGCATAACATACTGCTGCCTGCACAGGGAGGTCTCGGCTAACGGGCTACGGTGCTTGCCCTGCCAGGCAATCTTCCACATTTGCTAGAGAGGGGGAGCCGCAGGCCGGGAGTGGGCGAGCCAGCCGTTCTCCCCACCACAGGCTCCCCCCACCTCTCGCCCCCTTCCCTTACCGTATGTTGTTCTTGAGCCTCTTAGTGCAGTGCGGGCAGCGGAAGGACGTCGGCACCTTGGGGAAATTGAGCAGCTGGTTGACTTTGCCTCCATCCCGGCCGTAGTAGAAGTCATCCACAAGCATGATCAGCTTGCTCTGCACCCCGTCTCCCGTGCTTTCACTTTGCTCGGAGATCTTGGCCGGTGGCGACAGCGCAGGGATGGGGGTGGAGGAGGGCGGGGAAGCAACAGCAGCCGTTTTCTCTGGGGAAGGGGGCTTAGGGGATTGGATATTTGGTTCTGACTCCAGGGTTTTCCCTCTTTTCAAGAATTCTACCATTTCGGGGCAGCAGTACTGTAGGAAATAACGAGGAGGAAGAGCAAAATTATTTGCACTGTCTGGGACGCACAGTGTGCTAGGCATGCAAACAGGTGTCATAAGAATTCGGGTTGCCACTGATGCTTGAGTAATTTTATGGGGTGCCTACAGTTTAACAGATAATTGCTGTAATATGTTTACATTTTGGTGGAATTCTAGTGTATGTTGACCTTTTGAGTTAATAAATAATAATAAAAACATTAAGCCATGACCATCACTGCATCCTGTGGCAGGGAGTTCCATGGATCAGTACCCTGTGATGTGCAGCTCTCCTGTCCTTCGCCACTCCTGCATCTTATTGCCTACCACCTTTACTGGGCAATACCCACCCCAAACAGTAGTACTTTCACAAAAACTTTACAGCCGAGCTGCTGCACTGAGTACACAATATGGTTCCTTGGGGCTTTGCCCTCTGCAACCAGCTTGCAGCGTCTCTGTCGGGTAGGAATAGGTGAGGGATGAGGCGGTTACTTACACACATATGGCCTCTTAGAGCTTCCGTGACTCTGAACTGGGCATTGCATCGGGGACAGACTTTCCGCCCGCTGTCTTGCAAGTCAAAGGTGGGGATGGGCGATGAACTGACTGCAATAAAAGGGAACAGGAGGAACACGCCATGGCTGCAATCCAAACCCCCACAATCCCCTTTCCCAACTTCTTGCTCAGCTTGAGCAAATATTTCCCTGTTCTCTTTTTCTGCTGCCTGCTGGGATAAGTCAGCCCACAACCGACAGCATCTTTGAGAATGCCCAACCCATTTCCAACATTTTCGTTATGGGGGGATTATTTCTAGTCCTACAAATGTAAGATGAGAAGTCCCCCACTTAAGTCTCACCTCTGCCATGAACTTGGTAGATGGCCATCTCTTTACACCTCAACACCCCCTTTCCCCATCTGCAACATGGGGGCAGGGAGGGATAAGAAGACACTGAGAACATCGCAACCTGTCCACACAACTGATTCCAGGTGGGGCCATCCCAAACCGAACTTCTGAGCACCCACAGCCTCCTCCTATCCCCAGTCCCCCCGACTGCACACAGGCTAGTGATTACTGCCAGATGGAGCCATGCTGTGCCAGGGCAGGAGGGGTGAGGGGAGGACTTGGGAAAGAAAAAAACATTGGCTCCAAGGAACAGTGGAGGACCTTCCTCGGAAACCAACGGCCTGGCCAAAGTCTCTCTTCTCACAGCGGGAGGGCAGGCCAAGCATGGGAGCAGCAGAGTGCAGGCTGAGAGGCGATCACCCCCCGCACCTCCTCTGTACACATCAGGTGCCTGACTGTGGCCAAGGCTGCCTCTGTTGTGGCAGGCACCGTCCCATGTGGAAACTGCCTTTTTGGATACGATAGTTAAAGAAGCAGCCCCGCTCCTTCTCCATCCTACTTTGCTAGGGAGAGGAGGAGAAAGGGCCTCTTTGTAATCCCCTCCAAAAAGGAGGTGCTCCAAACATGTCGCATCTCCATGGAGCAGAACCAGGGGATGGTCCTCCCACTGGAAAGGTTTCCATGGTTCCACCTCTCACGCAAGAGGGCGGAATTACCCACTCTGGACACCCTCCTCCACTAGTAGGCAATTTCCTTTTTTCCTGCAAGGACACACAGAGAAGCAGAACTCCTGCTGCTTGGATTTGGGACAGTCCTGAGCTTCAAGGTTTCCAAATCCTCAGCTGACAGCAGCTTACCTTTCTGTGATGGGGACTCAGAGATGCCTGCTCTCTGGGAGCCATGGGCTGGACTGTTGTTGGAGACCACAATGGAGCCTGAGCTTTGGCCCAGCGAAGGAACCGTATTCAAGGTGTTCACCAGCTTTGCCACCTCGTTGTTGTTCTCGCCTGTCACCCCGGGCCTTTTCACCGTCACAAAGCTTGCAATGCTCACTGCCGGGGGAGGTGGGGTGGAGTTGTCACCCATAAGTGGGATGGGGAAAAGTTAGAGGAAACAAGCATTTTATTAGGTAGGGGAAAGAATCAGGATGAGCTGGCAATGTTTCAAGACATAAAAGCATCCCCGGGACAAAGCAAAAACAAGACTTCATTCCTCTTAGAAGTCTGGGACCAGGTTGTTCTAGGCATTAATGCTGAAATGGGGAAGGATATGCTTTTCCCCTTTCCAAGATGGGATGCAAGCAGGAGGTTCAGAATTTGTTTCCAATGAAAGGTTCAGAAGTGGCCAGTGTTGGGAAAGATGCCCCTGCAGGAAGTCTGGAGAGACGATGCTGGCACCCGATGCAAACATTGTTAAGCGACATGGTCTGACTCGGCATTAGGCCCTCCCAATGTTTTGCTGAGTTAGAGGCCCGAAGATCCACCTTCTCCTACTCTCATGGGCAGTGAGAGGGATGGACAAACCTTGGACTATCTCATCTGTACTGAGGGTGATGTTGATGCTCACTTTATTTTCCTCCTTTGAGGTAACCTCTATGAACACAGGGCACCAACTGACTAAAGAATGCTGACTCTGCTGATCATCTGCCCTTTTGATGGTTCATTTCCATAGATTTTCATACCAAAACGTCAGTATAAGTGAATTTGGGAAGGGGCAGTAATAGAACCATTACTGGCATACTAATGTTTTACATACATAAATAAATAACCCATCAGTGAGTAAATACAAGCTGCCCATCATTGTTAGACGTTAAAAACTTTTATGAATTTTATTTATCGCTCCCCATTATGACCACTGAAGATCAAGATGGTCTCCAAAAATCCACCATCAACAAAGCAAACAAACAAGTGTGCCCTTCACGTGCTGGTTAAAGTGGTACACCAGGAAATTCCAGTCCTTGCTCAAAATGCAGTTTCACCCCATGACCAAGAGCCAGAGACTCTCTCTGCAGTCTAGCCTACCCTACAGGGTTGGTATGAGACTAGAATATTAGTATGGGACTAGGGTGGGGAGGGTGCTGGAGGCAGGGAACAGCACTCTGGCTAAGCCCCACGGGGCTGGACAGACCAAAGCCTTGCTGTATGCAGCTTCAAGCATTCTTCCTCTCATTAAGTGACTGCACAAGAAGGATTTCATTTCAGATCTGAAATCTGAAGCGGCAAAGCTGAGGCTAACAGAGAGACATTTGGCCTATTTCTGCAATGGATGGAGAGGGAGGGGACTTCTTCTCCCCACCTGCCATCAACTGCAAGTCAGGGGCATATGAAACACCACCACACTCACAGCACCTTGCAACAGGTCCCAGGGTTTCTGGGTTTCAGTGGCTCTCCACAACGAGGATCAAACGATAATATATTTTCTTGCTCGCTTGCTTTTTAAAATGTTATTTTCCGCCCGGGGGAAGTCTTACCTAATTTGGGGTTAGTAGCTTGAGTGGACTGCCCTGGCTGCTGTACAGTTAACTGTCCCAGTGCGCTTGGCTGCGTTGAAGTAGGAGTGGTGGAGGTGCTGGGAGAGGACTTACTTTGCGGTTGCGCCTGGGACTGTGGCACTGTGCTCCGGATGGTAAGAGTGGCCGGAATGACCGTCGTGAAAGTGTTGGAGGACGGTCGGACCGGCATGGTCGGACCAGGTCTCACCTGGGTCATTTGGGAGAAAACCTGAGGGACGCCGACAGCAGGTTTCACAAACTGGGTACCTGGCGCTGGAGAGAAGAGACAGAAGGCCCAATCAGTCCCTGACACTCTTCTGAATAGTCTGCAAAGTAAAGCTGTAATTGGCTAGATTAGCCTTTTACCCCCCGGTGCCCTCCGGATGTGCTGGTACATGATTTCCACAATTCCGAACCAGGACAGCCACTGGGGACAATGGAAACTGCAGCCCCAAGGCACCAGGGTCAAGGAAGACTGAGTCGGATTATATAAAGCAGGGGCGTGGAAGAGCTTCCTGCCCAAGGGCCAAATTCTATTTCAGAGGAGTGTTCAGGGGACACATTAAAGCAGCGGGCAGGGCCAAAGTCAAAAGGGGTGCAGATAAAACATCAGCCTGATATTTTATTCTTACGGACAGTAAGAATTCTTTATTCTTTATTCTTACTGACAGTAACTAAGCCTTGGGAGAAGCAAGTGAACTTGTCCCAGACAGCAGGGGGGCTGCACAAATTCCAGAAAGCCACCACATGATGGGTGTGCAGGGAGAAGAAGCATGGCCTCCAAGGGCCAGATTTCGCCCCCAGACCTGGGGTTCTGCACTGTGTCACCAGAGAGTACATTATCTGGCTTGCTCTGGCTCTGGCACTCTGACATAGAGGATTCCTGTTGCTTTGGCAGGGAACGGGGAGGCATCTTTGACTGACAGCAACCAAGCATGAGGTAATTTGGAGAGCCCTCTCCACAGCCCACACCCTGTGGCTCCCCTTCTTTCCCTCTGAACATCTGCTTTCCTTCCTGGCTGATCGTGTCCAGTTTTCCATCTCTGCCTTACCTGGAACAAGGGTTATGGGTCTCACTGTCTGGCCTTGCTGTACATTCAGGACAATCCCAACCTGATTCATCGCGTTCTGCACAGGTCGGACGTTCCGTACGGGGAAGCCCTGCATCATAGGAAAAAAGAGGAGCCATTTGAGTAGGCTTATCTAAGCAGCAGGTGTGATCGCCTTCAGTAACTGCCAACTAACCAGGAGAAGTGCATCTCTTAACACTAGAGCGGGGGATATGAGGCTGAAGAACAAAGTAACAAGCTGCAAAGGATGGAAAAGGGAAGTGACTTAGTGAAGATCTTTTAGAGAAACTGGTCAACCTCAGTCCAATTCTGGAATCAAAGTAGATTAGATGCCTTGGTATATGACTTCCACTAAGCTACTTCCTTTGGTTTTATTTGCCACCCCATCCATTTTTTCTTCCTCAATGATTTTATTGTATCCTAAAATGGCTCTTAGGCACCTAGGGCATCTGTGCACTGAGAAAGAGGGTGCAAATCAGCTTAAAAGGAACAAGCCCTAGTGCCAGATACACCCACTGAATACAGTGCCCAACATACCCTCAGTTGCATCATCCCTCACCTGCGTTGTGATGAAGATAGGTTGACTTGTCACTGGGGAATTGGTCACATGGTTGGCATTCTGCATGACCTGTACAGGCCGGAGAACTGGCTGGGTCACCACTGTGCTTAGACCAGAAGCTGGGTTCTGCGTGAGGATCAGCGGCTGCCCACCCTGCTGGACAAGAGGCGTGCCGGCTGGAAGGGAGAGAAGAGTCGGGTAACGCAGAGTACTACATAGTGGCAACTACTTAGCTGCAGGGAAAATCCTCAGCTATATGCACATGTTTGATACCTCCCACACCAACACAAACATTTTAAAGGTGCGTTATTCCAAGCAGATCTCCCTCTCCCACCCATCACAGTGGTGGGCAGACTCACGGGGAACATCATGCTTGAGACAGGATGCGATCCCATCAAAACTACAGAGTACACAATAACGGATTCTAGCTACAGGAAGACAGATCCCTGGTGAAAATCAGGAAACACTTTGTACCTATTCTAGCAATCAGACAGCGGAACCAGCTGCCTAGGGAGACGGTGGGCTCTCCATTGCCAGAGACAGTCAAGCAGAGTCATCAGCCAGAGATGCTTCAAAATGGATTCCTGCACTGGGCAAGGGGTTGGGCTCGATGGCCTCAGTGACTGACCCCTCCCATTCCTACAGTTCTACTGTGGTATTTTAGGTCCACCAACTGGAAGCAGGTGCAAAAGGCTAGCTCTGAGCAGGAAGCAGACAGATGCAGAAACAGTGCATCCTCCCTCCCAAAGCTGCCCAGCTCCTGCCACTGCAGGGTCCTCTTTCGCGATGCATACCGAAGCACAGTGGTCATTCCTGCCTCTCTGTGCAGTCAACAGCTGAGGAAGGCAGCCGTATTCTAGGATCAGGAATTCCTGTCCTTACCTCTGATAAAAGCCGGTTGTGTCTCTCAGTGCTACAGAAAGGCTGTCCCTCTCTAGTGTTGAGAGGAGGGAGTGAAGCTTAGGTGGGATGCTCCACCGACAAGATGTTCCCCATGCCTGCGTTAAATTACTGGGAGCCAGCAAGCTTCACAACTCTATTTTGCATCTCCCCAAGACCTACAGTAGCAGCCAATCTACCTTCTGCCTGCCTCTAACTCAAACCACTAGCTCAAGGACAGTGCACATTGTGTGGCTTTGTAAAGTCCCAGCTTCAAATATCTTCGCAGCAACACAAATAGCGGGGAATTAGTGTCAAAGTAAATTGTGCAGAATAGGAGAAAACCTGCACTTTTCTTACATCACACAGTTCATGCAAGTCACAGGGTTGTGCTTTCTTCGGCACAGTATTTGGATCGGCAGTAAGCACAGCCCTGTGAACAGCCTGTAGATCCCAAGAACAACTCAAAATGATACCCGAACGATCAAGGCCTCTCTCCTTACCACTGTTGTTTGCGAAAAGTGTCACCAGCGTCTTCTTTGCACTGTCACTATTGGGCGGCCCACTACTGCTGACAGATGTAGGGGTTGTGATGCTGCCTCCGATGGATGCATGAGCAACGATTGGCATTGGGGTGGCAACTGGCTGTACACTCACCGAAACTAAAAGGAAGGACATTCTAAACAGTTATGGTCCACAGGTTCATGGGCAGAACACCCCCACAGTAGTTTTACCTGTGGTGAGACCTAATAGTTGAATCGGAGCACGAAAGAATTTGGGTCTGAAATTTGAGAGACAATGCTGGGAAAGGGCCTGAGAGTGGGTGCTCAGTTCATGAGCCATTGCTCGCTTGCAGCAATTCAGAATCATCTGTAGGTGACCCTCCAGCGGAGTTTTACAAATTTGACTACCTTCCCTCTCACTTTTATGCCATCACTACAGCGTGGACTAGCAATTTATATAATCTGATTTGCAAGAAAGACTGCCTTACCTGTTCTGCTGAAACATTCTGAGGTCAGCTCACACATACAACAACTGACCAAGTTTTCCCCCCTATTTCTATTTCACACTGCTGAGTGGGGAAGTGCATATTTATGCCATCGCCCCCCTCCCCCAGACAGAAAAAGTAGCATGGGCAGGATCTCTCAGGTTTAGCAAGGAGATGAAAGCGCACCTCAACAGAAAAGAGAAGTAAGAACATCCTAATTGTCTGCTAAGCAGAAGGCCAAAGAATGTCATGGAAAAGAACAAGTGGAGCTAACAACTCACAATGGGTTATCAAGCCCCGATTCTAACAAAGCACAGTTGAGAAGTAAACTTGTGTCTGGCCTGTACAGATTCAAACTGCAGATGGGATGGTTTCATGATGGAAAGCTCCTCCGTACAAAAATCAAACATTTACTGGTTATACAAAGTTAGCAATTCAGGGTGAAAGCTTGACTCTTCTGGGTGGAAGTTAGCAATTCAGGGTGTAGCCTTGACTCTTCTAGGTACAGGAATTTTCATTTTTCCAAGGACAGTTCAATCACATGTGTTCCCTTCTTATTGTCTGAACCCCTCCATACAGCTGCCTGAACCACTCACAAATTAAATGTATGTAGACAGAAAATCAGTGCACTAGGAGAATGTATTCTAGTGGTCTTATTCCTGATATGACAGCTTTGTAAGTTTAGGATTCTCCCCACTTTAACAGATGAGCATTCAATCATGCAAACTCATTCTCTACTTGCAGTCTTGAAAATGAAGAATGACCTTTCACGCATAATAACTAAATCATCTCAGTACAAAGCAAACTAGCACATCATGGATCAGGGAGAATGATTCTGATTTGAAATTCTTACAGACATGCTGATTTTTCTACATGAAATGTTGTTGTTTCCTCTACCCCATGTGGAAACATATATTACTGGGACCTTGGCTCAGATAGAGAATGACCCCCTCATTAGCTGGGTGTTGGAACAGGATCTGAGTCCATCCATTTATAAGAGAATCTCACAAAAAAGCTCAAACTGAAGCTATTCTAGATAACCACCAGAAGGCAGGGAAGGAGCAAATCGGAACCACCAGACAAGAAGATGAGATATTAAATGTGCCAATCTGCTACACCCACAAACATATTAATAGCTACAGAAGGGATGATTTGGGTTTTTTGCACATTAGACTCAAGAATATGGGATGAATCAAAGCAAAAAGACAGTCAAATATTTTTCAAGACCACAACTCACCCTGCGTATTAAGCTAACATAAGGCTGCTACTGATGCATCACAACACTGGCCTCAGCTAGAGTTGAGGTATTGGAGGCTTCCTTTCCCCAGGCCCTTCTTTCCTCCTCCTTTTGGTTTCTCCCCTCCAGCTTCCCACCTTTCATCTTCCTTTACTACGGTTAAGACTTGGAGTCTATCACAATTCTGTGGCAACTATCCCAAGAACTCACTTGGAACTCATTATCCCAAGATTTTCATATCTCTCTCCCCTTAATTTTTAAAAACGTTCTACATAAAACTAGGTTTCTAATTCTCATATCTGCAATAAATGTAAGCATTAGCGTAGAGCTGCATTTCCTACTCTGTAACCCATGTCTCTCCTTCATGGATCACTGCCTTGCCGTGGCGAAGGGGCTTGCGTAGCTCAATGAAGCTATGAGCTATGCCATGCAGGGCCCCCCAAGACAGACAGGCCATAGCAGAGAGCTCTGACAAAACGTGATCCACTGGAGAAGGAAATGGCAACCCACTCCAGTACCCTTGCCATGAAAACCCCATGGAGAGTACCAAAAGGCAAAATGATATGACGCCGGAAGATGAGCCCCTCAGGTCAGAAGGGGTCCAATATGCTACTGGGAGAGGGCTAGTACTAATAGCGCCAGAAAGAATGAAGCGACTGGGACAAAGCCAAAAGGACACTCAGTTGCTGATGTATCCAGTGGTGAAAGGAGAGTCCAATGCTGCAAAGATCTATACTCCATAGGAACCTGGGATGTAAGATCCATGAATCAAGGCAAGCTGGATGTGGTCAAACAAGAGATGACAAGACTGAACATCGACATCTTAGGAATCAGTGAACTAAAATGGACAGGAATGGGTGAATTTAATCCAGATGACCATCAGGTATACTACTGCGGGCAAGAATCCCTCAGAAGAAATGGAGTAGCCTTCATAGTCAATAAAAGAGTAGGAAAAGCAGTACTGGGATACAACCTCCAAAATGACAGAATTATCACAGTTCGAATCCAAGGAAAACCATTCAACAGTAGTCCAAGTCTATGCCCCAACCACTGGTGCTGCAGAGGCTGAAGTTGACCAGTTCTATGAAGGCCTACAACACCTTCTAGAATTAACTCCAAAAAATGATGTCCTGATCATCATGGGGGATTGGAATGCTAAAGTAGGAAGCCAAAAGATAACTGGAATAACAGGCAAGTTTGGCCTTGGAGTACAAAATGAAGCAGGGCACAGGCTGGTAGAATTTTGTCAAGAGAATACGATGGTCATAGCAAACACTATTTTCCAACAACCCAAGAGGCAACTCTACACATGGACATCACCAGACGGTCAACACAGAAATCAGACTGACTATGTGCTCTGCAACCAAAGATGGAGAAGCTCTATACAGTCAGTAAAAACTAGACCAGGAGCTGACTGTGGCTCAGATCATGAGCTTCTCGTTGCAAAATTTAGGCCTAAATTGAAGAAAGTAGGGAAAAGCACTAGGCCACTCAGGTATGACCTAAATCATATCCCTGATGAATATACAGTAGAGGTGACAAATAGAATTAAGGAATTAGATCTGATAGACAGAGTGCCTGAAGAACTATGGACGGAGGTTTGCAACATTGTACAAGAGGTAGCAACTAAAGCCATCCCAAAGAAAAAGAAATGCAAGAAAGCAAAATGGCTGTCTGAGGAAGCTTTACAAATAGCTGAGGAAAGAAGGAAAGCAAAAGGCAAGGAAGAAAGATACAAACAATTGAATGCAGAATTCCAAAGAAAAGCTAGAAGAGGTAAGAATGCCTTCTTAAATGAACAGTGCAAAGAAATAGAAGAAAACAACAGAATAGGGAGGACCAGAGATCTCTTCAAGAAAATTGGAGATATGAAGGGAACATTTCATGCAAAGATGGGCATGATAAAGGACCAAAATGGCAGGGACCTAACAGAGGCAGAAGAGATTAAGAAGAGGTGGCAAGATTACACAGAAGAACTATACAAGAAAGAGCTTAACGTCCCTGATAACCTCGATGGGGTGGTCACTGACCTCAAGCCAGACATCCTGGAATGTGAAGTCAAATGGGCCTTAGGAAGTCTGAGCAGCAACAAAGCTAGTGGAGGTGACAGTATTCCAGCTGAGCTATTCAAAATCGTAAAAGACAATGCAGTAAAAGTGCTACATTCAATATGCCAGCAAATTTGGAAAACTCAACAGTGGCCACAGGATTGGAAAAAGTCAGTTTACATTCCCACCCCAAAGAAGGGCAATGCCAAAGAATGTTCAAACTACCACAACATTGCACTCATTTCGCGTGCTAGCAAAGTTATGCTCAAAATCCTACAAGCTAGTCTCCAGCAGTATGTGGACCGAGAACTACCAGAAGTACAAGCAGGATTTTGAAGAGGCAGAGGAACTAGAGATCAAATTGCCAACATATGCTGGATCATGGAGAAAGCTAGGGAGTTCCAGAAAAACATCTATTTCTGCTTCATTGACTATGCTAAAGCCGTTGATTGTGTGGATCACAACAAATTGTGGCAAGTTCTTAAAGAGATGGGAGTACCAGACCATCTTATTTGTCTCTTGAGAAAGTTATATGCGGATCAAGAAGCAACAGTGAGAGTTGGACACGGAACCACTGATTGGCTCAAAATTGAGAAAGGAGTTCGGCAAGGCTGTATACTGTCGCCCTGCCTATTTAACTTATATGCAGAGCACATCATGAGAAAGGCGGGGCTAGATGATGAATCACCAGTTGGAATTAAGATTGCTGGAAGAAATATCAACAACCTCAGATATGCAGATGATACCACTCTCATGGCAGAAAGTGAAGAGGAACTAAAGAGCCTCTTGATGTGGGTGAAGGAGGAGAGTGCAAAAGTTGGCTTGAAACTCAACGTTAAGAAAACTAAGATCATGGCATCCGGTCCTCTCGCTTCCTGGCAAATAGATGGGGAAGAAATGGAGGTAGTGACAGATTTTATTTTCCTCCAAGATCATCACAGATGGGGACTGCAGCCAAGAAATTTAAAGACGCTTGCTCCTGGGGAGGAAAGCTATGGCAAATCTAGACAGCATACTAAAAAAGCAGAGACATCACCCTGTCAACAAAAGTGCATATAGTCAAGGCTATGGTTTTCCCAGTCGCAATGTATGGCTGTGAAAGCTGGACCATGAGGAAGGCTGAGCGCCAAAGGATTGAGGCCTTTGAATTGTGGTGCTGGAAGAGACTCCTGCAAGTCCTTTGGACTGCAAGAGATCAAACCAGTCAGTCCTAGAGGAGATCAACCCTGACTGCTCTTTAGAAGGCCAGATACTGAAGATGAAACTCAAATACTTTGGCCACCTAATGAGAAGGAAGGACTCCCTGGAGAAGAGCCTAATGCTGGGAACAATAGATGGCAAAAGAAGAAGGGGACGGCAGAGGATGAGGTGGCTAGATGGAGTCACTGAAGCAGTTGGTGTGAGCTTAAGAGGACTCCGGGGGATGGTGGAGGACAGGAAGGCCTGGAGGAATGTTGTCCATGGGGTCGCGATGGGTTAGACACGACTTTGCGACTAACAACAACAACAACAACCCACGTCTAAGAAGGAATTCCAAGTCTCCAGGAACTTTTGGTGACTTGAGTAAGCAGATTGGAAATCATTCTGAAAGCCAGTGACTATTCAGTGTGACTCGAATCAGATCATGAGAGGTAACATGAGGAAGCCCTCTTTGCTGACATAGCTGGAACATATTCCACTTAGTTCTTCCCTGCCCAAAACAGCCTCTGCCAGTGGCTATCCTACCTGGTCAATATGAAACTTGACTGCACCTAAATTTGCTCCTCTCCCTCAATCCAACCAGCAAATCCCTCCCCACAAGAAACAGCTCACATCTAGCAGTCCACATGCCCTTTGACTTTCAGCTGGTATGACAGTGAGAAGTGAAATTCTCATGCAACAATATGCTAGAATCCTGCCTTATTGTTCACAAGTAGTGTGCTGGCATGTCCTGTCCAATTATTCCTGTTTGGGTCTTCCCCACCGAGAAAACAATTTTCTCCGAGAGAACAGTAGCTGAGAAAAAAACTGCAATACACCTGAACTGGAACTTCTGGTCTATCTCTTCCCTAGCAAACCAGAATCTGATACCAAGATTTATACATTGTTTCCTATTCCCAACTTAGCAGCAACATGCCAGAACTCCTGGTATGGAGGTAATACTACCTTTCATGAGTACTTTCCAGTTATTTTAGCCCTTCTGCTACAGGGATGAGTCAAATGGGAGCAGTTCATCAGCATGAGACTGTATGCTGCCAATTAGCCAAGATCCTCCAGAATCCAGGCTCAGTGTTACATGTGAACACAGCCAGACAGCCCACAGAAACACAGGACGGGATTTTTCATCGTGTTCAAATAGAAAGATAATTGCAGTTGGCTTCACATATACACAAAACCACATGTTCTAATAGTTGAAAATGCTCACTGTGCTGGTTCACACAAAGAGTGCCCATCTGGTGGTTTTATGAAAAGCGCATAATAGTTTTATGAATCAGTGTGCTTTCATTCCACTGCTCAGGTACAATCTGAAAATGAGCTACAAATGATGTAAATTTGGTGCTTTTCCAAAAAAAGAAAAAGAAAAGGCAACATCACTTGGACACATCAATGCACTAATTGTGGTTCATTTTATTCTTTAGTGGTATCACTTATTACTGTCCTTAAAAACAAATGAACTTTTGTACATATAATATGTATAATTATGTGTACATACATAGCATTTATGTAAATTCTCTACCCTGAGGGTAGTTTAAAAAAGGGATTGGAACAATCCTTCTCATAAAACCAGATGGGTCTTTGATAGTAACTGCTGTTACTGTGAATTAATTACCAACTTAGCAGGAGACTCCTGTCCTATGACTTCCTTACACATAATCATACTTAAAAAGTATTTACTTGTGCATTTTGAAAAAGTTAAAATCCAGTTAAAGAAATCAGTATCTTGAAAATGGATGTAGTGATATATCAGGCTCTCACACAGGCCACAGAATACTTGTATCAGGTAAGGATGACATGGTATCACATACTGTCCATTGAAATGAAACTGACATTATACAGAGAATGTGTATCACCTACTACTTAAACAAACAAAACATTAAGAAAACAAAAAGGATCATTACCAGTGGCAGTTTTGTCAACCGAGTTGTAATCTTCAACTACCGAGTCTTCGATCACATCGCTGATTTTCTGCCATGGTTCCAGCTCCTCCTCCTCACATTCCATAAATAAGTCGGTGTCGGCCATTCTGGTGGAAAAGGACAGAAAATGTGAGTGCGTGTCTTCCTGGGTAAATGAAAGGTTGATGGAGAGCTGAAACGGTTGTCAAAGCATTCTTTCCATCAGGTCCTCTGTCCATGCTCAAGAAATTCCAGTTCTTTAGTTAGATTCTCAACACATTCTCGGGGAGCTTTCCCCAGTCTGATTCCCCTACAGGTATACTAGACTCTAACTCCTATCCTCATTGTCACCATAATCTGTGCTTGATGGGAATAATGGAACTTGTAGTCCTCCTCAAGAGCATTTTATCCTTGAGGAGGGCCTACAAATGATTTTACACAGAACAGAATAACACATTGACGGGGCACTACCCTCTGGACATGTAAACTCACTGGGAAGTGATTAGCATCTGCAAGGGTGTTATTACTGACCAGTCACATTGCTCAGTGGTTTGCGATGCCCTTCTTTATTTTTACTTTTTAAAAATCTAACTGCAGGTTGGCTGTGGTATACCAGGATAAGAATAGTTCAGTGACTTGTTCCCTTTTATAGAAAGTAGTACTGATATTATTCAAAGTCATAACTAAGTCAGTACATTTTTCCAAAGTTACATTCCTTCTTCCACAGTATCAGTAAGCTAATTTGTTTCTCACACTTTGCTGAATCTTGTCCTTTTCTTTGTTTATTTATTAATTATAATTACACCCTGCCTTTCTTCCCTGAAGGAACTCAAGGCAGTTTACAAAGTTCTCATCTCTATTTCATCCTCACAACAATTCTAAGGTAGGTTAGGCTGAAAGACAGTAGCTGGCCAAAGTCACTCCATGAACTTCTTGGCCAAATGGGAACTAGAACCTGACTCTCCCAATTTGAACTCCAACACTCTAACCAATAACACACTTACAAGTTCCTACTGCCGTCTTTAAAATACTCAATAACCATTTGTTTACTCTTTTAGCAGTCAACCGGCCAAAATCAAGGCCCAGCACTACATACATCAGGTCTTACCTTATATGACCCAAGTGGATCTTGTTGATCTTTCCCTTTTTAGACAACTGTCCAAGGTACTGGACACTTGTCCACTTCTGAATCCACTCATCTAATTTGTTTAAATGGGACTAATTTGGTCCTATCTAAACAAAAGTATGTATCCAACACTCATCCACACCAGAAAAATACAGGGTAAGACTGGTAGAAACCTGTTTGCCATTACCAATATTTCTACTATGGGAACTTTGATTATCTTCCCATAATCTTTAGAGGGTCTGAGAAGCACACAGGACCTACTGCTAAAGCAAGATGGTTGCTAAAATTCCAAACATCGATGATTCTATTTCTATGTTTCATAAAAATTATGGAGAACACATAATCATAAAACCCTCAGCACTGCCTACTGGTAGTGATATGCTGAGTAGTGATATGCTGCAGTCTGCTACTGAGAGCTATACCAAAAATCTGCAACCAGTCATGTCAGGCATCAAGGAATTTTATGAGGTGGGAGGTCTGTAGGCTGAGAAAAACAGTTAAAAATAACAATACGCAGATCATTTTGGACACATCCAAACACATGACTAAACTGTGAGCCTCAGTCATCAAAGGTTCAAACTCTTGCACACCAATTCAACTAAAAAATCCTCCTCTCTGCAGTTCTATTTCTTATTTTCCTCCTAAGCGTCCACTGTACACGTTTTTGGCATGTCAAGATGCAACTGGTCAGCCTCTTGGTTTAACTTGGAATCCTGTACCAAGCAGGAAGTTGGACCTGATGGCCCTCTTGCCTGTTTCCAACTCTACTATTCTATAATTCTAAGACTCCCCTACTTAGCCAAATGATTCAATCCCAGTGATAAATATTCTAACATTTAGTTTTCTGCCACATCACTGGCAGATGCTTCCTCACAAAAACAGACCCAGAATGTGCTAAATATATTACAGTAGTCTGTTTAAAACACACATACAGATCAGAACATATTGGAGGCCAGTACTTCCATTAAAACAGACCTTTGCGGGCATTTAAGAGCCAGCTGATTAATAGCATTGTGACAGTGCATATCTATACAGACCACTTCTTTTATGCAGCCAAACAGGCTTCACATTTTCCTTAAAACAAGAGAAGGAATAAGTCAGATGTTTTCAAGTTGAATGTTATGAAAAACTAAAGCAGAATATTGGGTACATCCACAACTGCCGTCTCCCCAGTTCAGTGCCCCCCAGATGGATAATGAGATCTGTAGTCTAACATAGCTGAAGGAAGCCAGGCTGGGGAATACTGTGCTATTTTTGGAATGGGAAAGCCCTCCATTCTTTCTCTACCCATTTATCAGCTTCAACAGAATCTTAAGGAAAGGTCTACGTCAAACTTCCCCAATCAGGTGTTCTCTTGATGTTCTGGACTTTAGTTTCCATCCACCTTAGTATGCCAATGGCCAGAAATGATGGGGATTGTTGACCAAACCATTTGCAAGATACCCACATAGGGAAAGCTGATTCTATGGTCGCACCCTGATTCCAGTGTGGCGTAGCGGTTAAGAGCACGGGACTGGGACTCAGGCGATCCGGGTTCGAGTCCCCGCTCAGCCATGGAGCCACCTGGGTGACTTTGGGCCAGTCACAGACTCTCAGCCCAACCTACCTCACAGGGTTGTTGTTGTGGGGATAAGATGGAGGAGGAGAATGATGTAAGCTGCCTTGAGCCCTTTGTAGGAAAAAGGCAGGATATAAATTGCAATAAAAATAAATAAATAAATAAATTCCATGTACAGCTGACGTGTGTGTGTGGGGGGGGGGGTATCCATGTAAGGACACCATTTCCCCTATCCCTGAATAAGGGATAAAGGAAAGGGCAGAAATCAATGTAGTCTAGGCGGTCATGTATGTATGTAAACAATTTTTAAGCACCCCAGCTCCTACTCTAGAAAAACACACTGCCCTCACAAGGCAACTTACAACGTTAGAAAAATATTAACTGACACCGTTAACCATGGCAAGGAACATGCCTGCCAGTTGTCCTAGGAAGCAGTTGAAAAATAATATGGATCTTTCTGAGCACAAATCTGGTGGTACAGACCTCCAAATTTTAGAGCATGCACACATATATTGTGTGACTCAGGTACCAGTCCTAGAACCTTTAAAACAAGGATCTATTAAAGTGGTACCTCTACCTGGGAGTATGCCAGCCTTGTACTACATCATCACCATCTGCACTTCTGTACCACCCCACAGTCCAAAGACTTTCTTAAACACTTCTTTGGCATCTTTAGGCAATCAGCAACTGCTTGCAGGAAAGTACAAGAAAGTAAGGTCACAGTGCATCCATTGCAGAAATAGGCTGCTACTTTCTATCCCCCCTCTGACAGCAGGAAAATAAATATAAATGCAGACTAATAACATTTTTTGAGCTTATTTACAGGGCTAGAGTAATCCCCATTCAGTTCAATGGGACTTCCAAGTAAACATGCAGAAGCGTGAACATTTGGGCCTGAGAGGAGCTGTCTCTAGAAAGATCCAAGGTAAAACAATTATATCTCACACATCTAAAATACCCCAAAGTGCACCAACAGAGGCTACATTATTATACCAAAGTATACCCATTTTTTGTTCATTTGGCCCATTATAATTTACTCTGACTGTTAAGGGGGAGTCCCAGGCAGAAAAAGACCTTGCCTGTCACCTTGATATCAGGGCCTTTACAGCCGAAAATGCTGCCAGGGATTGAATATGGCATCTTCTGCATGTAGAGAATTTATTCCAGCACTAAGCAATGCTCCCTCACCTCTTGTTTTCATTTTGCTTCCCATTCAGCAACATCAAAAACCATGACTACCAGCATTACTAAGTCATGAAAAAATAGCAAATGTAACCTGCTCGAAAAACATGAGAAAGTTCTCACTCACATGTAATAACATTTTTCTTCTCCAAAGTATGGCAGAAATTTTTAAAAAAGAAGAAAATGAGCATGACCCATGCTCTCCTGTTCTCTTGTCAAGTCATCTGATCCCAAACTCAGCTCACTCATTCAAGAGAAAGTTTGCTCGGAGGCAATTTCTCATTCCGCAGATTGTTATAGCAGTTGCATAGCTATTTAAAAGCCTGTTTAAAATTACAATGGAATTATAATAATTTTAACTGCATTTAACTTTTATTCTTCCCCTGTTTACTGCTCTGTTTTCTCTCCTGCATCTATTTTTAAAATTGCAATCCCCTTGTAAACCCTCTTGAGCAAAACTAACTGCATATTTTTCCTTTTTCTACCTGTTTTTCTCTTATCTCCTCTGTGCTGGATTTTAGACTGTTAGCCCTTCAGAGTATGCAGCTTAAGCTCAGCAGAGCATCATGCATGGCAGTGCTATGAACATGCAGGGCACAATCCTGTACATATTTAGACAGAAAGCAAGCCTACAACTCCCATCATACCCCACATTTTTTTCTGTCTAAACATGTGTAAGATTGCACCCTAATTAAGAAAGATCCAGGGTTTCTGTGGTGTCACCTCCCACAGAAACTCAATGCATTCAACAGGCGCTATTTAATTTAGGCCTCACAATACCCAGCTGGGATTGGCAAGGATTCAGACTTGATCGACAGAAACAGAAGCACAGGAAAAAATATGAAGGGACTTTGCTCCAACAGCAGCTTGGAGCAGCCAGCCAGCCAGACAGTCTGTCTAGGAAATCAGGCCTCTTCTTCCAAAACAGGAGAAATAGTGCCAATCTGCTTTTAAAATATTAAAGCCAGGATGATGAAAACAGATTTAGACTACATGAAACATACTAACTCATATATTTACTTTGTCACCTAACTGCTCTTCTGAGAGGTACTTTGGCCATAACCACACCGACAACTACTTTGGATTGTTTAAGCAAAAGCGACATACAGAGAAATAAAAGAAATATACTTAGATTAAATGTTGCAAGCTGATCTACAAGCAGTTGCTGAGATAATTCATTATAATAATCTCCAAACTTTTCAGATCTTTGACAGCGAGATGCAGCACAAGCTGACCTACTTTTTGTTTTGTTTTTCAACTGT